AGTGCATATAAATTACATTTACAGATATTGCATGTTGATAGAACTCATTGAAACGTGTTTGAATCTCTATAAGACTATACAGACTGATACCAAACTTCTTATCTATGAAACTTAATAGAACTTATCGAAAGCTGTATACAAAATAATAAACAAATTAACGTTGATTTACAATTATATAAAATGATTTTTATTTTAATATTTTTCTCCTTTTTTATGAATCACAAAATAGATGACCCTTACGTACCTGCATATTTATTTTTGTACATTAATATATTTACATATCCATTTTGATGTATACATTACCATATGTAAATAAGATGAAACATCACTACCAACTATAAATTCCTGAAAAAAGTTTCAAGAGTTCGTGGGTTTGATAATATAGTTGGAAAAACAATCATCGGACAAGAGAGAGTTCTCAAATTCAATTCTGAATTTAGCGACCTTTTTTCCGAATACCTATATTTTTGATTCGAATACTTTATAAAATTTGTACGAGACCACAAAAATAAAAATAAAAATAAAGTATTCTATCAATATTGCAATCAAATGATTGAAATAAATCAAATCAAATTAATCAAATTGTTTATTCATTTTAATTGTACAAATATTGTATACAATTTAGGACTATTCTGTTTGCACAATTTGTTAAATAACAATTTATAATATAAACATTTTAATATTGGCAATTAATGAAATAGCTTTATCGATTGTTACAAGCACACATTTGTTGTAAAATGGGGAAATATATGCGTAGTTGATTATTACAAAGATAATAACATTGAAAATAGAGATCAATTTATGTTAATCATTTTAATATAAAAATATTAATGAAATACTTATATTGATTCGTTCAAATTTTCATATTTATTATTAGTTAAGAAACATTTCAATAAATTGTTGCACTATCAAAGAAATGACAAAAGTAAACTATTGAAACTATAGAATATAACGTAGAAGAAATTGTTTCTTCTTTTCTCAATTTATAGATTGGTTTATGGTTAGTCTTCTTCCTGTTTTAAGTTCAAATAAAATGAAGTACAGTGTTAGAAGAAGATAGTTGTTAGTAGTATTTTCTTTCGTAGAATGGAAACATTTGTATGTTGTTATTTTCTTCAGGAATCCAATAAAAAAACAACCATATAAAAGAGAAGAAGAAGAAGAAGAAGAAGAAGAAGAAACGAAAAGATGAAACACAGAAAGTATTGAAAAATACAAAATAAATCCTCGTTATGCTCGAGTTTGTTCAAATGATATCAAATAATTCAACTTCATGAATTTATTTTCAATATTTTTTACGTAAATCGATCAATTGAAAATTTTTCAATTCGAAAGACACGTTTTAACAAATTTCGGTTAAATCTACTTTCGTTTTGTGAAGTATTTACCACCACCCAATCGTATCGGGAGAAAGGGAAACGAAAAACAATTTTCAGATGAACGATAAGGACGGTTGAAAAGAAAGTAGCAAAAAACTTGAAAGACAAATTGCGGATAGAGGTGAAAAGAAATAGAGATGAAAAACATTTCTTTCAATTTATATAAATTGCCCCGAGCAATATATATATATATATATATATCTCAAATTGGAATAAAGAGAATCGTGGTATAGAAACCCCCTGTACAATATTTTCTTCCTTTAATGAAAAAGGTAAACCATGTAAACCGCGTTGAAAAAAGTTTAAAGAAGATACCAAAGAAAATGTTCACAAACACACACGCAACTGTTAATCAGATTAATACAAATAATATAAATTAAATAATAAAAATAAAATTATGTTCACATAAAGGTATATCAATTTGAAACAAACGACAAAAAAAAACAAATACAAAGTTAAATAAATTTAGAAAAAAAAATATCAAAGAAAATTGTCAACTAATAATTATTTTGATATTTTTTAATTACATTAATAAACAAAATAAATATAAAAATAAAAATCACGTTAAAAATAAGGAAATACTTACTTTTATTATTTGAGGCAACAAATTAGGATAATAGGTGCAACGTTAAGAAAAATTTAGAAAAAAAAAATATCAAAGGAAATTGTCAACTGTTAATTACTTTGATATTTAATTTTTATTAATTACATTAATAAAAAAAAATAAATATAAAAATAAGAATCACGTTAAAAATAAGGAAATACTTACTTTTGTTATTTGAGGTACCAAATTCGGATAATTTTCACATTTCATTTAATAGATGACGTTCTTAAACCCTTTCGTCAAATCGAAATAAATTTCATTTTGCATATGTGTAGGATATATTTCATGCATGATTCCTATACGGTTCGTTACATTAAACGAAAGAGTTAAACAGAGTATAATTCACGGAAAAGGTATAATACCGGTCAGAATCAAGCAATAGGAAATTGGGTAACACAGTGTTCGAGAAACTCGTTATTGTGGGGATTGACCTTTCACTGGCGACCGAAACGAAACCGCATAGCCATTAATCTTGTTATAGAGAAATAGTTTTCATGACGCCTCGTTTGCTATAATTTTACACGTATCTAACTAGAAAAAAAGGGTATATATAAAACAAAAGGTAAAGAATAAAAAAGAAACTATTTTAAACGATATTATTTCTTTCCTATCGTATCACACATGAATATTTTATTTATTACAAATTAATATAATTAAATAAATAAATTTTATTTTTTATTTATTTGAAGAGATTTTTTGTTAATTTTTAATTTGTTTTATTTTTCTATTATTCGAGCAATATAATAAAGTTAAGTGTGTCTCTGTGTAAAAGTGTGGTTAGAGTATGAGAAAACAAAATAAAATAAAATGAAAGAAATAAGCTCGGAAAAGAGCAGAAGAAGTTTCTCAGTATTTAACGTTAAACGAGGCAAAAAAGTAAGAAGAATGAAGGAAGAACCTGGGTGTGCTTTTCTTCGGCTCCCATAATCGGTGAATGTGTGGATAAAGAGATCATTAATCTTCTCTCCAAGGTTTAAGCTAACCAACGGGCATCAACCGCAACTTCTTTCCTTCATCCGATATCCTCCCTCAACCCCAACACTCCTTTCTAAGATTAGTGACATGAAGTTTTATTTTTCTACCAAATTCCTGGGACGTGAATCTCCGGAAAATGTGCCAAAAAATACAAGGGTTGAAAATAAAACGCGAGTCATCATCGATCTTATGTTGGTTGGTTGGGGTTGTTTTTTTGTGTAGGTTTTCTTTGTGTGTAAAAATATCGAATAAATTTAAAAAAAAATAAAAATAGAAAGTACGTAGGAGTTCATGCAAGTATTTTAATATGCGTTCCTTTAGAAACAGTATAGTAGAGCAAAACCATTTCAATCCGCAAATCAGAGGCACGCCCCAACCTACTGAAACGCACATGCACTTTTATCGCGATCTTTTACAGTAATTGCATCGTACGAATAATATATCATCTGTTACCATCTTGGCTACGATTTTTTGTCCATAAGGTTTTCTTCCATTTGTATTTTTCTTTTTCTTTTCTTTTTACTCAGGAAGCTCTTGGATAATGACTAATTACAGTTATTTTATTATATTATATTTATTATAATGGTATATTAAAATTATAATATACCATTAAAATATTTATTTAAACGTATTTATTACTATACTATATTATTATACGTATTAATACGTATTTAATATACGTATTTATTATACAATAATAGTGTATGAATTATAATTTGTGGTATAGTATAATATTTTATTTATATATAATCTAATATTTTATTATAATAGTATATTAATTATAATAAAATAAATAAATGAAATATATATATTTTTATATTCTCAAAATTCT